GAGCTCTAGGCCGAGGGTAAATAAAACAATTGGATGTCTTATATTCCTTGTATATTTTTTATTTTTTTTTTCAGTCCTAAACATGCCTTTAGGTTAAAGGCGAAATATCGAAAGTCATAAACAAAAATGAATATCAGACATCCAATTGTTTTATTTACCCTCGGCCTAGAGCTCAAAAAACAGTCAAAAGGTTACAATAAACGGTAAAAACACAAACCCAACATTTTTTTTGTAAAGAATAAAATCTAAAAATTTTAAATAAAAAAAATGTATATAATTAAAACAAGTTTCAAAAAGTGAAATCAAATTAAAGAAATATATACGTATGTTTATTTTGCATTTTAAATCAATGAAATTTAACAGTAAAAGAAAACTTCATAAAAAATTAAAAAAAAAAATTAAATAAAAAAGCAAAAAAAATCGTTGTCCAGGTGCTCGAACAAAAGCTTTCTGTCAAAAAGGCTTTCCACTATGAGCAAGCGAGCTTTTCTTGTAAGTCTTTCGTGGCAGATTAAACCAATTCTTTCAAACTATGTTGCCGACTGCCTTTCAATGGTGTGGCAAAAGACTGTCGTCCAGCGCTAAGTTTTTCTTTCTTATCATTATTAAGTTTATCGCATTACGATAATGTGACTCTTACCAAACTTGTGAGTCAAAATATTTCAAGTAAAATAAGTAAGATTTTGCAAAAAGGCGAAAACTTTAGATGTATAAAATTTGATGACATGGATCACAGCGTGTTAAGGATTTTTCCTATGAATTAATACCAACATTTAAAATAACTTTTATAACACTTTATATATAAAATTTTTACCAGCTGCATAGATATTTAATATTCTTAAAATCTGCACATATAACAAAAATATAATTTTTTTATTTATCAACCATTTCAGGTTGGCAGCGGCTCAGGAAGCGGCGCTAGCAGGGCATCAACAGGGCTCCACAAGCGGGGGGCACTCGGGTCGAAGGGGAGCCCATCGCTTAGCTGATAGAATGGGTGGCCCAAAGAAAGACGATACACCACCTGGTGGTGGTCCAACATCATTATTTATCCTCACCGAGGATAATCCAATTAGAAAATACACACGATTCATCATAGAATGGCCGCCCTTCGAGTACGCTGTGTTATTGACAATCATTGCCAACTGTGTTGTGTTGGCTTTAGAAGAACATTTGCCTGGGGGTGATAAAACAGTATTGGCTCTGAAACTGGTAAGTACATAAATCGTAAGCATAAAAGCGCCCCAAAATGGAGTGAGCTTGAGCGCTGATATATATAGGTATGAACATTATTAGCTATGTATATGTATATGTATAAGGAAATACTTTGCCAATTACTACACTACTTTCTATTCTACTATTTTTTTTTCGTATACTTAGGAAAAAACGGAGACCTATTTTTTATGCATTTTCTGTGTAGAAGCATCGCTCAAGATCCTTGCCTTAGGGCTTGTTCTGCATAAACACTCCTACCTCAGGAATATTTGGAACATCATGGATTTTATCGTCGTAGTAACGGGGTAAATATTTTGTTTCATTTTTCGTGAATCTACACACACGCTCCTTTGCTGTAGTTGTTGTCTTTCAACATGTGTGTATAAAGCCGTTGGCGGTGGGTTTTCGAAATGGATCTTAAATGATCTTAACATATAATTATATAAAAAATACATTCATCTGTACATAAACTAAGATTATCAAGTGCACTTCATAGTATTAAATCGTGATCCACGTTTATTTATTTAATATACATATATTTTTATGGCTTTCATTTTCATTCGACACAAAATTTTCTTTTGTTCACTGTTTTTTGTTTTTTGTGCACTGTACATTTAACTAAGTCACAAGCACACATCTATTTATGTTCGATACACTTAAAATATTTAAGTGTGGTGCCCACTTTCTTAAACAATACTTAACATCTATGAAGTAAATTTGTATAAAATGTATATATAAAATAAAAATACCACTTCGGTGTATGTGATATAGCTCTTTTTCAGCATATATTACAAAATGACTATCGACTGCGTCTTTTCTCTAGATGTAATACGATTTACGTGCTTATCCATCAAGTTCACAGATATCAAAAATACTTAATTAGTCCTCAAGGCTCGAGCTGAACAACTACAATTTATCTTAAGTTTGACTTTTGTAAGTTCATATGTACATATGTATATTGTTTCCTAATGATTTCAGCTTTAAACCAAAGAAGTGTTTGAAACGTTTTGTCCGAATTTTCATTACTAAAGCTAGAATTTTCATCATTAAACTACTAGCAAAAGAAGGCTAAAGGAAAATACCAAATCAATTCGTTATATATTTCTTATTGCTAATGCGCAGACCCAAAAAAAATCCTTAAACATTACCTAAAGCTTTATGGGGCCTTATTCATAAAAAATAAAATAGGTTTAAAGAGCTTTATTAAGTGACATTCTTTATTTTATATGAATTTGGGTCTTAAATTTTATGAACTTTTAGAAACAAAAAGAAGGAAGATCCCCATAAGAGAAACCGAAACCTTCATTCAAATATAAGCCCCCCTTTGAAAATGGTTAAGTTTTCACAAGACACCCTGCTTCGATTGAATAGGCAAACTTTTTTTCTGCCCACTTTCAGTTCATACACTTTGAAATATTTTTGCTTCAAACTTGTATAAAGTGTATGAACTAAAGGTGGGCAGGGAGTATATGGGAAATTTAAGCCATCAGAAATGCTTAATTTTTTTAGTCTTATTTCGAATACTGACTAACTCTGAAGAATAGTATGCTTTAATACGATTTTTTTTGAGCTGTGTAGAATACTTTTAGGCCCTAGGTATTGTTAGCCGTCTTAACGTTTTTAGACTCCACACAATGATCAAGAAGTGAGCAGGGCGGTCAAATTTAAATCTTCACAAACAAATTAACGAAAATGTATAATGAAAATATAGCCTAAAGCTTTTCAACATCTAGCACGTATTTTCGGACTTTATTATGTACTGAAGAAAGTTGTTTATAATTACGGTGGTAATTTTTTAGATGTTTTCATCTATACATATAATAAATAATAATGACTTCTCCAGTCGCTGCAGGAACGAGTGAAAGAGCATAGAGTAGGTCATCTGCCATTGCCCTGGCTTGTTTTAAATACGATTGCCTGGCGGACTAAAAGTTGTTGTGTATTCACAGGGAAAGTTGATCTGGTACATATCAGATCACGCTAGTAGTATTACAATGAACTTCCTGGCTGAAGTTTGGCTCTGAACATTCCTTCTACATTGGCAGTCGTCAACGTAATTTATCCTCACCAATGAGGAATTCCTACGGCGAAGTATTACTCGTAGAACAAAATAAACTTTGTCGCCTCGAAAAGGTAATTGGAAAAGATGAAGACTCAGAATAAAGTTACTTAAACCAGATAAAAATGACCGAACCCATTTTGGCTTCAATCTTGAAAACCTCTAATTAAAAAAAAAAATCCAGAAAATTACTTGATAGCTTTTAAGTTTTTGAACTTGGACCCACGAATAGAACTTCTATATTTCTAGGAAACAACTCTTAAAGCTTCAGAAAAGCATGCATTAAAATCTAAGCCCTGCTAAAGTGTATTTTATTCCGAAAGTGTATCGAGCATAAATCCATAAACCGGAGTCATTATTTTGTTTAAATATATACATACACATCATTCGCAAATAATTCCTAACAAAGTTGCATACTATTTTCAGCAAAAACACATTCTCTTTAATGTCACTCTATTGTATATACGTATTTACTTCTCTTCCGCTTTCTTTTAAAATTTTAAATACATATTTATTAACTATAAATATAAATAAACTGCTTTTACGAATATTCGATTATGTTCTGCCAAATTAACATTCGGTTTATGTTTTGAATATTATTTTTTTTTCTTTTTAATTTATTGATTTACTTCATATTTTCTGACAACTGCAATAAACGTGATGTTGTGAATGCCACAATGCAATCGAATGAAACTCGTTAAATATGTTTAACCAAATGCACACACTAACACTTGCGATGACCGAATGCCAATTTACATACTATACACCAATACCTGCACGCTAAATATATGAAAAAAATAAAAAATGCAATCCACTTCATGCATGGCCGCCTTGTGCATGGGGGTGTATGCGTGCTTGCGTGCGTGCGCGCGTGCCTGCCTGCCTGCCTGTCCCTTGGCCGCCTGGTGGGGCATTTAGCGCTATGACGATCTTCGCCGAGGCCAATATAGATGTCGATCTGCGTATGTTGCGGTCGTTTCGTGTACTCCGGCCACTCAAACTCGTTTCAAGAATTCCAAGTAAGCTTTCCAGCGTACGTGTACATATAGTAATTCAAGGAAAAAAATACGACATTTGTAGGCCAGTCATAGACAAAATTACATAGATTATTAACAACTAGTGCTTAGAAATATTATATAAATATAGTGAAATTTAAAAGATCACTCTAGATATATCTACTATCTATGTCTATTATCTATGTGAGTTTATGTGTCCAAAAAAATTAGAGAAAAAATAGTAAACAATTTTTGGAAACTTAGCTCATTTATTTAAAGCCTATGAGCAGTGTATTCAAAGAACTAGTAGTAATATACTCTACTCCTCAATTCTTCTCTTAGGCACTTGATTCGATTTGAAAAGTGCCAATTTTAAAAGAGGGATTTTTTTCTTGAGGATCGTTATATCTTGATATGCAGATTAGTTTCAATTTGGATTTTTTATGGAAAAATATACATGATTGAAAGGAGTATACAGGTTTGCAAAAATGATATTCTCAAAGTAGCGTGGGTATCCCGATGGGTCAACTTAAAATTCAATAGATCACCGACATTTTCCTGGTATTAAAAACGTTCCGTCATTTTACAGAGCCAACATACGATCTGACTAATTCTGCCTGCATCAATATAAATTTCATAAATGACAAGATGCATGTAATTAAGGTTACCAAATTATGAATGTAAACTCGCGACGCAACCACTGGTACGATGAACAATCCGAAAATCTGACTGAAATCCTTTCAAGTTTTAATCTACGTTCATAGTACCGGTGGAAGTTGGGTAGATGAAAACGCCTCCCAAAAGGATTGCGGTTTCAGAATTTCGTTGACTTTGCCAGTGCCTGTTGTCAGTAGAGAGTGAAGTTTATCGAAATCGAAGCTTAATGTAATGTACCTAGGATATACTATGTCCCAAGAAAGATTAAACGCTTTAGCTATCGTATCTATCGGAAATGAGATTGCTACTCAGATTGACTTCGCAAAGTAAACTTGTAGTAATTGATATCTGAAAATTTTAATTAAGTAAAATTTGATTTTTTTATTTCGAATATTTCTGCAATTCATTACACAGGCCAGCAAAAATAGAAAAAAAGTTGGCTGCAGCAAACAATAAAGCTGTTAGGTAGACTTTTTTGTGAATCCATGTGTAAGCATAAATATTCCATCAGCGCCAGATTCTTTGATGACTATAAGTGACCATCGGGTCAAGGTGCAGGGATGGTATTTTCAGATCTAGTTAATCACAAATCCCCACATCCACGGGGATAGAAACCTTCCTGAGGAGTACCTGTGTTAGTCTACCTCGACATGGTTACAACATCCACTCATCCAGCACTATCCCGCAACTCAAAATATTTTAATACAAATATATTAGGATTAACTCTCCGTTCTATTGCTACACCCACTAAGAAGAGCTTTTTATTATCAGTACCCCTTCGTATAGGTATGTTGATTTTTTGATATGTGGTTGCGTAAGATTCTCTCTTTGTTACCAAAAAAAGCTCTGATATGTTTTCAGTAAGAACCAGTTGAGGCTTATGAAGTACGAGTATGAATGCAAACCTTGCTACTATCCTAATTTTCGGAACGTAACTAATCCTTTGACAGTACTTAAATACGTCGATAAGCTTTGGAACTAGCAAACAATCTCCCTTTTATAGAAACGTGGAAAATATGACAAAGCCTATTAAGGTCTTAAAATCCTGATATTACTCGAATCGTCTGCCGCTTCAGAGCAACCAGGAAAGTAGGGAAGTAATCTCTCTTCTACTTCCTCAAATTATCCGGCTGGAAATGGCGTAAATATTTGAACAATTAACTTAACATCTTTAATATGCGAAGTCCTAACCACTCTTAAACACAGCGAATAATATCTCTAGTAAATTTAAAAATAGGCGACTCAAACAGGGCTGTCCGGCCAAACATTTTTATTACGGTTTGTCCTTTAAAATTCCGATATATGGAAAAGCGATGAATAACTCCACCAATAAAACAGCTGAAGTCATTTACTAGAAGCTCGATGGAAAAATTTAAATCCTTTTTCCGACTTTAAGAAAATACTATGGGCATATATGTAGGCAAACTGTGTCCTTTAAAGTAGGTTAGGTTAAGTAGTTATTCTCTTCTGCTTNCAGATGTGAACAGTCAAATACGTGCGTAATAAATTTTGTATGAAAATATTATTTTTAAATACGAACATTTTTAAACGATAATCAAATATAAAGTATTCATTTTTACTATGCATTATTTCCCTCAGTGTACTTGATCCTACAACGTCACTAAGGACCAAATTATTTTTTGCTCTAGAGAAAAGGAAATAGTAGTTTTTTATTTAGAACACGCTGCTCTAGGGCTACTATGTCCCTTGATTGAAAACTAAATAGATAATATAATAAGTTATAGCTAGTTGTATACAATATTCGTGCCGTATACCGTTTTGAAATTTAAAAAACAATAGATTAGATTTTTAATTCAAACGTGGTCGACATTTTACCATATCAACATTATAGAATTATAGACATAAAAAGAAATGACTAGCAAGCAATTAGTAATTATAGTGAAATACACATATGTATGTATATTTATGCTAGCAAAAATTATTAACACCAACAAAAAATATATCTATCTAATATCGCTAACTTACACATGTGCTCGACAGCGGGTAAGCAAAATACTATTCGATAGATTTTTGTAGTAACATACACGTACATAGACACTTAGAGGCATCAAAATGTACAAATGTACCTAAGTACGCCCAAAAAATAAAAAAAAGGATAAATACTAGTGTAGCGACAGTTTTAGGCTGTCCGGTTACGCGATGTAAGAAAGAACGCGCGAGTTTAGTTGAAAATATAAAAACTTAGCTTAGTGTATGTATGTATGTGTGAGTGGAGTAATGAAGTTGTAGCCTTATAGCTCAAGTATTAGCTATTTTGTTTTTATAGAATTTTTTCATAATTTTTTCTCCATTAAGATTTATTTTTTTTTTCAAAAGCCGATTTTCCACGCAGCATTAAAATTTTAACTATTCATACTTAGTACAACACAGTTCGCATGTTCATACTTAAACACTTTTACACTTACTTAACGCTAAACTATACACTAGTGGTTAAAGAAATAATAATTGCAAATATTTAACGCTGAGTAAGAGAATGCACTCAGCAAGCTTAAGCTGCGCGTACAACTGTGAAAAAAGCGAACAAAAATTAAGTTTTTTTAAAAAAATTCAGTTTTTTTTTATCTCATAAAATACCCAATTGATTTCTGCTGTCGTCAGCGTACTTCAAATGTTCAACAGCAAAAGCGTTTGATTTGCATAGCAGAATTCGCGGCGCGCTACTTTTTCAAGATGAATTGAACTATTTTGCTCTTGAAATGAAGCAACTTGACAACAGCCTTAACTGCTTTGGTTCCTTTTCGTGTGTGTGGAATACCAACGAATGTTTTAACGAACAAAAGAAAACAAAAAAAAAAAAACGAAGAAGAAGAAACGGCGAGATGCAATTAAAATTATGTTTCTTTATGCAAATCCTTGTATACACATTCATGTTCACAAAAATTACGTATACGTAGTTGTTGTAATCGTATAAATTTAATACATACTACGTACATACAAACATATATGTATAGTGTTGTATAAATAATTTTCATTTGGCAAACAAATTGTCTGCTTCTTTTGTTCGGTTGTTTGTCAATAGTAAATTTGTGTTGATTTTCATTACATTAATGTTAGCCTAATTTATGCGTTGGTAATTCAAAAAAAAAAAAAAACTTTTTCATCGCAAGCAAATGCACTTAATATAAAGTTTATGATTTTTTCGCCACCCACCAAAGCCATTGTTAATTTTCCACTGAACAACTCAAAAGTACCGCTACATCACTGTATAATTTATAGCTAAGTACAAAATTCCAAAAATCAAAATAAAAAATAAAAAATAAAAATTACATAAACATTGTACAAATTGAATATATCGTATTCGTATATGCATACATATTTATATTTGCAATATTTATTAATTTATATGTTATTCTTTTATATCCTCCTTTGCCACTATATACAAAAATTCATTGCTACTAAATCACATGTTAAGCATGCCATGCCATGCCATGCCATGCAATCGGAACATTTTGCCAAATAAAAATTATCATCTCTTTCAAATGAATAAAAACAAACAAAAAAAAATACAAAACTCTTCAATCAAAATTAACTTCAACTCGAAACTCGTACAAATAACATTTATACAAAATTAAAACATAATATCAATGAAAAATTAACAATTAAAACCAAACACTTGCATATTCGAAACAACATCAGATTTATGGCACTGCTCCCACAAAAATGGATTGAGGTAGATCTAAAAACATTAAGGGCTATACGTGTGCTAAGGCCCTTGAAATTAGTCTCTGGAATTCCTAGTGAGTAGTTTCATTAGTTGTAAGCGCTAAAATGTTAAATATTTTAAATATGTAATTAAATATGTAGTGGTAGTTGTAAAAAAAAAAATATGTACAAAAATTACTAGAATATAGCGATAGTCTCTATTAGTTTAAAATTTTTTTAATTCATACATAATAGCCTAGCATGCTAGATATTTTTATACATATGTATTCAAAAATAATTTTAAATTATTATTTTTTAGTTTTAGCTACATTTAGCTTAGTATTTTTTAATATTAACAGCGCAAAACAATGAAATATGTTGGTGAAAAAATACGGGTACATTATCTACGGAAATTTCAAATCACGAATTGAACATTACATTCTTTTAGAACGTCACAATATATATTATTCAACCATTTGAAATGTACAGCTAAGCTTATAAAAAAAAAATCAAAATGTGTTTCCAAAAATATTTTAGTATATGGACTCAACACCGGTTAGACCAGTTGGTCCACAAAAAAATCGCGTGAATAACCAATTACTCATAAAATTTGATTTTAAACTTATATAGTATCTTGAACTACGCCAAGACGACTAGTCTCTAAAGTGGGCTCGAAACTAGTGCTAAAAATGGCCCGAATGAAGTTCCGAACTCATGTATATCAACGAGCAGTGTTGCCAGAACAGTGATTAGATTTCTGAATTCGTCTTAGGTTTACGCGTGACAAGTTAGATACTACTCGTACTAAGTGTTTATGGGTAATCTGATGAAAAGCATACTTGGGAACTTATCGTGAAATAACGATGACGCAAACATCGTTGCAATGAGCAATCAAAGTACCGTAGATAGGAACAATCGCACAATAGGTAAGGATCTGAGCTTCCTTAAAATCGGGCATTACATAGTTCATGTGTTGTGGAGATATTTCATGCCAATACCGCTGGGAATGCAGACTTGGGTTTTTTCAAAAATCAACTCTGGCCAAAAAAGTGCTGTAACATTCCAAAGGAATAATGACGCATGCGGTAAATCATGGTAGTTCCTAGTGTATCTCATTGTCAGCTGCCGAAAACTTAATGATCTTTACCTGCGAATATATTGTTTATATCAATACGAATGAGTTCGTGCGTGAGTAAGTAACACGAGAATCAGAGTGCTGCTTTTGATTGTCCCAGTTCGAGAATCGTTCTTTGTATTCCAATCCTAATGATAATCGCTTCTGACAGTTTTCCAGACAAGCCTCTTCGTGTTGACTGTGATATCTAAGCTTCTGCATCTATTCTTTTCGCAAGTAGGTTTTAAGCCAAGGCCTTCAGTACGAAAGCGGTATGCCCACTTTATTGAAGGTATTCGTGGTAGAAAGGGTATGGTGAGATCTATTTGTTCTGAACTCAAACCAATCCTTGTACTTATGTAGTGTACTTGGCTGGCAGCTCTTTTAGAGCTCGATATTTGATATCTTTTTTAGAGAGTGTCAAGCAAACGTCTAACGTTTTAATAGTAACTTGACTGACCGAGCAATCTCGTTTATTAGTAGCTTCTTGTTTAGTAGTCTTAACCTTGATGATATCACATTTCCACACGGCTTGCATGTCGGGTAAAAGTAATACACGAGTTCGTATAGGAGCTGGAGCTTGATAAATACACGAACCAGTAAAAGTGCCAGTTTTCAAAAATCACCATCTTAAAAATATAAGCCACCAATACACTTATTGCGTTTTATGACTCCACAAAAAAAGTACGTTTTTATTCGCCAAAATTGTTATTAGTTAGAGTTGAAATGTGTGCCCGCTTATTGTGAATCCGCCAACATATTTCAATATATTTCAGTTAGCTATTTAGATAATTATTAGCTAACTAGTTTTTAGTTGCGATAGTTTTGTAACTTTTTCGTAGCGATTTTTTAACTGTTAAACTGTTTAATTTTTTTTAAAACTAAAAAAATAAATTTTGTTCCCACACTAATACACAATACTTTCTTTCTTACGCGAAAATCTCTAACACAACTTCATGGCGCTTAACACTGCTGTGCCTTTCGATGCTGGAATCTTTGCTGGAAAACAGGTTTACAAGTAGTTTTAAAATCCATTATCAAGGCTATGGCGCCGTTACTTCAAATCGGACTTTTGGTCTTGTTTGCAATCGTTATATTTGCAATCATCGGACTCGAGTTCTATTCGGGCGCACTGCATAAGACTTGTTATAGCTTAGAAGATCCAAGTAAGTAACAAATTTCATTGCTAAGAAAATTTAATTGAGCGCAGTTTACATAAAGTCATAGACAGACGGCAGCAGTGATACGGCATAACTCGTTAATTCGGAATTATGTCGGACATTAACTGAAGTTGATTCTTATTGAGTTCTAGAGTTTATTGAGTTAGCTTAATATTTAAGAATTTAATTATATTGAAAAATCTTAAAAAAACTGTAATTACATAAGACAAAAAATAAAAGTAAGAGAACTAAAATAAATTTAAAAAATAAAAGTCTGATGGCAGTGGTACTCGAACAAACGAATTGCGATTCGCTTAATTCGTAAAACTGCCTTCGGCCGGGGTGCAATTTTCGTCGGATCAACTGCGTCGTTAATTCGGATTAACGTTGCCGTCTGTCTATGCTATAAGTACAAATTTAACACAATGAAAATACTTTCTCCTTTCCTATATATATGTATCGTACACCTAGATCTAAAGTAGGATCAACTCAAAAAAAAAATGTTGTGCAATTTTTTTTGCATAAATAAATAAATAGGAAATGGATATGGAAATATTTTTGTCTTCATCTGTACCATCCACAAGCAGTTAAAATTTCCCTCTATTTATTTATCTTTGAGTTAGTTCACTTTAGAACTAGATGTGCGATATTTACACTGAAAAAAAAGAGTTTAGTTACGTCAAATCAATATACTGCACTCAACTCGCGATTGTCCTCTCTTGTCGTTGGTGTAATTAAACTCCATTACTTAGTAGTAAACGAAACACTCTTCTTCTTTTAACAATTCGAAATAAATCACCATTTGCGTTTTCTTCCAGATAAACCTGTTAAGGAAGGCGAATCAGAGACACCATGCAATACGGATAATGCGACGGAGAAAGCGGGTGGCTCATTTGTATGTAATTATAACACGAGTATGTGTCTGGAAAAGTGGGAAGGGCCAAATTGGGGCATAACTAGTTTTGATAATATCGGGTTTGCCATGTTGACTGTGTTCCAATGTATCACCATGGAGGGCTGGACAGCAATACTGTATTGGGTAANCTGCTGCTAGAATTTTGAAAAAAAAAAACAAAAACGAAATAATAATAAGTTTTCTGATATCTCATCGCCTACTAAAACGTTTACGTGCTGCTAGCAAATTTTACTGTGTTATTATTTTTAGTACAGAAAATATCTGAAACTAAAACTTTTCTGAGATCTGCTAAATACGTTCTGTGTTTTCTATTTAAATGTGCTCATTCAGCTGTTTTTATGAGTTTTTCTTTTTAAGGCCTTTAAGGTACTCTCTACCTACTTTTGTACATATGTATGTATATTTCTCCAATTGAATTAAATGTGTGATATCACTCGGTTATCTGCTCCATTTAGCCCTTATGAATGCAACTATGATTAAATGACTTTAACATGTTTCATGGAAATTTAAACGCTAAGCTGCACAATATTATTGACGAGAATGATGATTCTATAATTTTGATTGTTAACCTTTTGCCAATTTTTAGCCTCTTCACCTCCGGTTATATCTGTCTATCTCTAACTACCTTTAACTCGAAATTCCCCTGACTGTCTATATATCTATTTTAATAGCTTGTAGGCACCGGATGTAATAGAGTTTAAATGAAAAGCACTTCCAATATCTTAACGTATTTGTTTCAAAAAAATTACCATCCGTATGCGTATGTGTCTTGGATGGTAAATAATAACTAATTTTTCCTATCAGAATATAACACTTTCCTTTATTTTCATGTAATATAATTTTTCTTTCCGGTCCTTTACAAAGCTCTTTCCTTGCAATCAATATTTCAAGAAAACCTGTACACTCTGCCTATTGCGAATACTGATTTACCTAATACAGAATTGCCTATCATTTATGATAGTGAGCTACTGAAGAAGGTGAAGGTGTTGCCGTTATATTTCCATATGCCCATGCACTTTTATAAATGTATTTAACTTAAAATTAACACACTAATACTTTTACGGACGTTCATTTTGATGCATTCCTCGCTAAACACCACTTCTTGCTTTTTTATTCGTTATGTAGAACCCATGCATTTGCATTTTAAACTCAAGTTGCTAGTTGAAAAATATTTCGAAATACTTTACTGCCTTTTCTTTTAGAGTTTATTTTGATCCTCTTTCTGTCTAATAGATTTGTTTTTATTTTTTATTAATTGAGGCATGCATTTAAAAAATTGGGAAATTCAATTACTAATCTCCTCCTAAGTACACTTACAACCAGTGTTGCCGTTGGGCGACTAATGGGGCAATTTGACCCTTTTTAAGCGCCAATACCCTTCGACCCGACTTTTTGAAAATTTTGATTTTTTGACCCTTTTCCAAAATTATGTGCGACTTTTGCCCCTTATCAGAGTTTTTTTTTGGAAATGTTAACAGAACCATGCTAATAAAAAATATCTCCTCCTGTAAGTACTAAAAACGCTTAAAACTTTTAAAGGAAATGCAACTCTTCTCCTTGCAGCAGCTCGATTTGTGTGTATGTTTGCAAAGCTTGTACCGCTATTTTTTTTTAATTCAACAGATTTGTTCTTTTAGTAGTAAAGAAAAGCAAAAATAATATGGTGACTCTTTTTTCGTCAATGATCCCTTTTTTGCGACTTTCTTAAAATTCTTAACGGCAACACTGCTTACAACTCGTACCAGGTTGCTTGAAAAGTATGACATCCAACCAAAAAGAAAAACCAATTATTCATTCATTACTCATCGTCAGACAAACCTTTTCGAGGATACCTTTTTAATCTTTTTGATCTTCATTTCTAATACGAAGTGAAACAAAATGCTAAAAAATCTTAAATTGAACAGGTTGCAAGAACAACTACATACACACAAATACAAAAATTTTTATACGACGATTTTGGGCGTAATTTTCAACCAATTTAGAAACCATAAAAACTTTTCTCATCTAAAGAAAAATAGCTTTCCAGTAGGTTTCTTTATTTTTTTCTGGTAGAATCGTTAAACGAACGGAGACAAAATTTGTCCGTCAAAGAGGTCACGGCGACAGTTTTATGGGATTCTCGCGGTGCCATTCACATTGAATCAGCTGCAAATTTAACTCTGAGCTATAACACAAAATCAATATTAATTTGAAGCAAAAAAAACCAATTTTTGTGCACAAAAATGTGCTTTTCTACACGGTGCACGTCAAAAATAAAATAAAAGAAAAAGTTTTTTTTTTTCATTAATTAAGGTATAAAGACCCAGTTTTTGCGTTTGTTGTCCAGTTTTTACAGATGTAAGTTATCATTTAATTATAATTTCTGGTATGTGGAATGCATCAACTCTGAATGTTTCTTGGTGTGTACTTATGCATTCTTTATGTTTTTTTTTGTGTACGTATCTCACTCATACTTATACATATACATATACATATATGAGGCTATAAGAGCCAGGGGAGCTTATCTATGTACTAAAAAATTTGTTGAGTAACTACGATTATTATGGAAAAGTTCACTTATTATAAAAAAACAAAACTCAATTTTTTGGAAATGTCAATTAGGCTACTCTGGCTCTCAGGGCCTCATATGTATATTAAAAAGTCCTAATTGAAACTGAATTGCACGAAATTCTTCATTCTTTATAATTTTATAATTTTCTTATTTGTTTAGATTTTCTGCATACCATACAAATTTAATTGGAGAAATTGAAATTCATACAAATTTAATTGGAGAAATTGGAATTAAATTCAAAAGCGCTTTTAAAATTAGTGTAAATGCAACGAAATTTTTAATTAAAAGTTTAAGTTTTCATACATGAAACCTCTCTCAGTAGCATACATTTTTTTTTTTTTTTAAATATTGTATATAACTATGTGCTGCATTTGTTGTTATGATAAGCTATTTAATTTCAACTTCTTTCTTCTCATAGCGCATACTTTTGTGTATGTACGTATGTACGCTAATACATACAAACAGATGTACATATAAGTGTATGTGTAAAGAAACGCACTAACGTATGCTTGCTGTAACTCTAACTGAATAAATATCATTCATGGCTTACTTTGTTACAATTTTGTACATTTACTATGAATTAACTTACATATCTCTCTATGCTTTCAAAATGATATTCTTACAGACCAACGATGCTTTAGGTTCAACATTTAATTGGATATATTTCGTGCCTCTAATAGTTATAGGCTCATTTTTTATGCTCAACTTAGTTCTCGGTGTCCTAAGCGGGTAAGTTGATGTCTCACAATTGCTTAAATACCTATATAACTATATATATATGCTTACGTACGTATATTAAATTTATTATTTTTCGAGTTCTTCTTATTATAATTATATTTATGTTGTTGTTGTTGTGTATATTTTCAAATA